CAAGACGACATTGGCCACAGCACCAAAATATAACTTTACATAATGTACATTAAAATATAGAATTACTGCTGTATTATCACACTAGCAACCCAGAGGATTACCCAAATCAGGCTAAAATTATACTATACTGAGTAACATTTCATAAATTTCTACATATAGATCATATTGTTGGCATTGACACATTACTAATGGTTCAACAACCATGTCGTAGTTGCATTTATTTTTAATTAGGTCTGAAGTCTGTGAACAATCCATTGCTGCAATCATCCAGGCAAATGTTCAGTTCTAAAGGCCCACCGGTTTCAATGTAAAATTTAGTAGTTTATTGCCTCGGCCTTAAACCCAAGAACCTGGTCCGAATCCTCACATTTGTGAAACCCAATCTTGGCATCCGTGACCATGATATGGCTGAAATATTGCTAGGGGTTGTGTAAAACCCACCTCAATCAGTCACTAGGACCCCAGTGAAGATCCGGGTTAGAACCGGTCTTCAACAACACATGCTTGTCATAAGATGCAACTAACGGGACCAGGTGGTCACGCTCCCTATGGTTGATGCATGTCATCGTGTCCAATTAGCGTATGTCAATCACTGGATTGTCTGGTCCAGACTTGATCATTTACAGACCGCCGTCATAACATTCTAGAAGAAAACCATTCCTGTGCTCGTGCATTAAAAAATCACATAAAATAAAAATGTCATGCGTTTTTCAGAATTATGCATGATGCTCGCATGAACAAACACTTTGTCATGATTACCCGTGATGACCTTGACATTGCACGTGTAACCGGCCATTGCAAGCATACAATTTCCTTAGCAGAAAATTCGTCACACATTTACAATACACGTGGGACCGAGTCACAGAGTAAATTGTTTAAAGTGTTTTGACTGACAACACTCGTAAACGTTATGCTACGCCTATTTGAAATTAAAAGGTTGATGCAACTGGAATTCTTGAAACCGGAAGTGCACAAAACCTTGTTTCAAGGCGTTTTGGTGTTCATCGTACAGTCAGGATCGGTACGAACGGGGTCGAATCAACAGGATCTGTGCCAACACACTGGCTAGACCAGGGACCGAACACGATTAACCTCACGTCGGCAAGATAATCATCATCTTTCCGAGGCAAGGCAGTTAACTGAGTGTAAAAGTTCAGTATCCACACTTGCCGAACTGGGCTGGAATTTCTGGGTTCCATCGTAGCGCCTCCAGTTGATATTACGAGTAATGTCCCTTCTATGCCTCTCCTATTGACCAATCAGATTCCATCTATCTCTTGATTTAAAAACTTGGCGGCGCCAAGTCAAGACAATCTGATCGATAATCATGATCTATATTGTAAGAGAACGGGTCTACCTCGCGAAGTGCATCAAATCGCGTGAGCACCTTGATTAAAAACTTGTGAAAAGATTGGGAAAAGATCTGTCGATGCCCAGTTGACGGTACACATCTGTTGCAAATCCTGCAGTCGACCGAAATATGCAGGTTGAAATCCATGTTGTTTACGAACATGATGTCGATTTCGTTACGCGATTTTGTTTGGACCATGCATAGACTCGTTAGTCCAGCCAAAATATAACTCCATAATTCTAGCCTTGTTCGGCAAGGGTGGAAAGTGGACATTTACAGTCAGTTACCTTCCTTGCCTCAGGAAGATGGATAATCATATCCGTTTGGCTCACCTGCGAAATCGCAGCCACACTGGCTGTTAAGTGTATAAAGGGCTGTGGGGAATCCGAGCATAACTACCTACAAATTTGCTGCCACGTCATCGAACCACTCTACTGGCATGGTCAAGACAACATACGAGGTTCAAGTTACAGGACTGTAGGTTATTCCTCTTCACAGAGTCCAGTTCATCTTGACAGCAGCCATGGTCTTCAGCATTTTTATTGACGACGGATGGAACGTTGCACTGACGTCGTTTACGCCGACTCCCGGTCCAAGTGCGACAGGCCTTGGTCCAAATCTGGAATGACATCCTTCAAGCCTTCCTCTACCTACCCGTCATTGAAGCGCCGTTGTCAAGCTTGTGACACTGCTTATAGCGGCTCACCTTCAGCCCGAGTTGACGTTTACAGAGGACATGTTATGAAGAATTTATGTTTCAAGGACATCAGTACTGGGAGTGAGCGTTATTAAGGGTTTCATTATGTATTTTGCCTACCTTATTTTAATTGAGTGACATTTATCCTAATTTATGCCCAGGGCTTAAAAACGAAACTGGACGATAACATTAGGAAGAATGAATACCGGTACCCCAAAACGATACTAACAAATTGAATAAAAGAGCAATACTTTAACATAAGACATGATTTTCTTTTTCAACTTGAAAATAATAATTCAAGAACACTTTCAAAATTGAAATCACAGCTGTTGAAAATGTAATACCAACCCAATATCGCAGTTATGTATGACTGTCGTATGCTTTTATAGAATGTCACACTGCGATATGGGTCCAGTGTGGCTTGTAAAAGCGGAAAGCTCTAACAGCCCTTAAGGTACAGTGTTGGTGCAAGTTGGCTATACAACATCCGGTAAGGTATATCAATCATTTTTTTTACAATTTAAGTTACGCTCATGGGCTTAAAAGCGGTTTTTATCGTTTTTAAGCTCATGAGATAAATAAAGAGGGAGCTTAAAACTGCAGGCCCCCGTATTTCGTTCTGTTGCAAAATCGTTCTTTGTTTGCTTTTATTCATGATTTCCCGTGATAGTGGTGCACACGCTAGTACTGCAGCAATATTGCTCACAGGCAATGGAGAACCTAAACGTACCCTTCAGAACAGGTGCGATTAAATGTTTAACGCGTGGACTTTGCACCCGCCAGATTATCAAACTAGACATGTTCCTTACGTTCCATTTCTTAAATTGTATTTCGCGAACGATTTTATCTTTAACTTTTTATCTCGACATGGACTTTGATCTCGCAAACATAGATTGTAATCTAGAATATGTGATGTAATGTCTCAGAACAGTTTGCCATACGAAGAGTGACCTCACAAACGTGTACACCTGTGAGGAGGTGGCCATTTGATATTCGGGGGTAGCGGTGAGGATTGATTTTGAATGGAGACTCAGCTCTTAGATACAAATGCAAAACCAGTTATTTTGTTATCAAAAATATGAGTCTCTATTTAAAAAAAATAGAAAAAAACAGTTTTGCAACCATTTGTAGTTTTGCGCTTTCTTTTCTTCTCAACTGAGTAAAGTGCCTCTCCCTCCCGGAATATCGAATGGTCAGTCCCTCAGCTGTCAATTCAATAAAACTACATAACTGTCACTCTATAATGGCTGGATACTGTCATAATAAGGCTACCAAACACCAACATACTCTAAACCTATTATAGCGCATATTTCTTGATGGGGAGTGAGGGGTGTTGGGGGTGTTACCCGAGTTACCCTTCCCAGCCCTAAAACACACACACACACACACACACACACACACACACATCTTGGGTCATGATGTTGACCGACATTTTCTCGCTGGATCTGTTCTGATGTATCAATGTGTGGCCTACTGTCAGATTGTGATTTCCCGCTTATTGACGCCTCATCACATTGGGCATCGTAATATGTTGGTCGGTACCATGACACGCCAGCAGTAGAGATACAGAGCCTGACCAGTCCATACAGTTTCTCGTAACCTTTGACAAGTAATTAAGTTTGGGTTACCAATTCTAACCCAGGTCCACACTGGTAGGTAACAAATAACATAGTTTGGGACTGGTGATATCAAATACATGCATTGGACGCCTATATAAACGTACAAGTGAGTAGGTGAGGTGAGGTGAGGTGAGGTGAAAAAATGGGTTTAAAGGTCAGTTCAAGATTATTGCACTTACAGGATGTGCATGGACTGTGTATGGCTGTTTGTGCTCTTCTGGACTAATGCCGGTTTTGTAGTACTAGCCAAGAGATACCATGCCGCAGTTTTAACATGGATACCCCACTCAGACACAGCATGCCAGCCGACCAGGCCTTGTTTTGCCCCCTTAATGCCAGGCAGGGAAACTTTTAATGTCTTTAGACATGTGGCCAGATCGAACCAACCACCTCCTGCACTCTGTGGAGGGCTCTGTCATCTACACCAGGGAGGATATCCAGTGAGTGGGACTGTACACAACTATGAGGGCTAGCTCACCACAAAGATCTGCAATGTGGCCAGTCCTGGGGTAGACAAACTAATGTCCTGTATTGTAGTGATGTCTGAGTGAGTGAGTGAGTGAGTTTGATTTTATGCCGCTTTTAGCAATATTCCAGCAATATCACGGCGGGGGTCACCAGAAATGGGCATCACACATTGTACCCATGTCGGGAATCGAACCCGGGTCTTCGGCGTGACGAGTGAACGCTTTAACCACAAGGCTACCCGACCGCCCTAGTGATGTCTGAACCATTGGACAGTCTTCACACAGTCATTTCAGTTGTCACCAGGTGGTAATGCAATCATTCAGGACATCCATAAAGACATAGTGGTTTAAACATGCCCGAGCTGGTATTATGCAACTGGGTCAGAAGGGTGGTGTTTTCTTTAGATCGATTTACAAAAGATTTCTATCAATAATTCATTACTGTTACTAAGTTAATGACAAACATTTTTTTTTACATATTTAATTTTCCTACATTTCGAAATGAGTCCGATTGTCCCAAAACACTTTTTGTTAGGCATCAGATAATATAATTGAATCCTGCATTTTGTCATGAGAAGGTCGCTTGCTCATGGAGTCAGTGACTATGGTTTTATGCCGCTTTTAGCAATATTCCGGCAGGGGACACCAGAAATGGGCTTCACATTTTGTACCCATGTCAGGAATCGAAACCCGGGTCTTCGGCGTGACGAGTTAACGCTTTAACCACTAACGCTACCTGACCGGCCCAGATTGCTCATGGAATGACATTATGGTTATATAAATGTTAACCTCATGTCCACATTGGTGATTCATGACACTGCTATTGTTTACGTTCAGCATGATTACTATTAAGGAATTAAACTAAATTTATATATTGCTGTTTTATTTCTGTTGGTATTTTATTGACAATGCAATATTATAATGTACAACAAAACATTTCCCAATGTCAACATGACTGAACAACAATGTATATTTAGAAACAAAATAGTTCACATTCCTCTCCACATCTTATATGGGTGGGATGAGTTGATCCATGATCGTCTTGTTCTATGTCAACTCATATTACACCATTAGCTGGACACCACCAGTGCTGTGGTATAACATGTATAGCACATGATCTGTCACAATGAGATTCCATGTGTTTTGGATTGCATGGGGGGTGATTGGATGAAGTGCACTGTGATAATTCTTCTTATATCCGTCTCTTCTGTGTGCTGATGTATAACACTGAAAATAGAAAAATTTCATTTAATCTAATTCATTCTAATGAAGTACATAAAACATCTCTTTTGACATACACCTCAGGCATCAAGCAATGTCAAACCAAGTTCCCTTGCACAGTACTGGTTTCCTACAAATTGTAATTCTGTTTCCAAATAGGTGAATACCAACAAGAAACAAATGTGTCTGCCCCCGAGTAATACCGTCTGGTTTTATTTAGCATGTGTAGAAGACCAATCACAGCAGTCACCTGAGAAAGTGCTCTAAGGTCCTTTCTAATTGGACAATCACCAGTGTTGTCCTTGTGCATACCATCGACTGATTGTTACCTGATCCGAAGCTCGACCACAACAGGACAAAGTGGGCACTAGCCTAAAGCTAGCAATAAATCCCAATGTTCAGCTTCTTAGATAAGAAGGAAATTCTCATGCTAGATAGCTTGCTGTGCTATACTTGTATGTCATTGTTATTCTGTATTTCAGATGTATGTATGTATGTATGTATGTATGTGAGTATGTATGTATGTATGTATGTATGTATGTATGTATGTATGTATGTATGTATGTATGTATGTATGTATGTATGTATGTATGTATGTATGTATGTATGTATGTATGTATGTATGTATGTATGTATGTATGTATGTATGTATGTATGTATGTATGTATGTATGTATGTATGTATGTATGTATGTATGTATGTATGTATGTATGTATGTATGTATGTATGTATGTATGTATGTATGTATGTATGTATGTATGTATGTATGTATGTATGTATGGTCCTGCTTTCTGCAATATTTCAGGAATATCATGGAAAAGGACCAAGCCTCATACTTGGAAGTTCCCCACTATGAGCTGTAAGTCTAACCCTATGGCATCCCTGTAATTATTAAACTCATTACATGCTAAATAATATTATGCACTAATTGATTCAGCAAACATAATAAATGTTAAAGTTTGGGAAAGAGAGAAAGAATTCAAGTTACTGTTACAACCTCTGCTATGTAGCGTTTACAAAAGAACACCCCATCAACATTGAAACCAATACACTTAATCACTTCAATCCTGCACATCAAGATGCTGTTCATAAGATAAAAGACAACCCTTATCTAGGAATGTTGAAACCTATTACCGTTATTCCCTCTGATAAAAGCATCGCCATATTTATTTTTCAGCTGTCCATTGACATACTCCTCCGTCTGTTCCAAGGCAATGTTCATGTAGCCATCCAAGCATGCCAACACTCCTACAACACAACACACATGGATGTGATAACATTTGACAAAATAAAGCCAATATCACAGAAGGGATTCATTTCAACCTGCTCAAAGGCTGATGAGCTGCAAGTTGGCAGCAAATAATGTCAGTAATAATTCCCCAAATGGAACACAACATGTCCCAAATCCTGATAATTGTTAATAAATAGTGATAAATTATCAATAAATATCAGAGAAGAAATTTTGAGCAAATGCACACACAAAAAGTCTAAAAGAAATCCACATACTCAGGGTATTTCAGCCCACTGGTGACTGGTGGCACATTTATGCATGGATTACTTTGTGGACATTTTAAGATATAACAAACAGTTGCTTTCCATCTTCGGCAATTGACTCGATTGACAAAACGAAGTCTGTTTTGGTAAATCTAAACTTTATTTCACCACAATTGTTTATGTAAATCATTACTTCTGCAAAAAGCAAAAATTTAGTTTGACTTGCAGTTATGACATGCTTGTCATCATTAATAAATACAAATAAAATATCACTATAAAACCACTCCTCTTGTCGCCTTACCTCGATAATCTACCCCGGAGTTCAGCTTGACCATGACAGGACGACCAATAATTTGTTTCAGGAACTCACTGGGTGTCTGCTTTCGACTCATTTTTGATCAACTGAAAGAGAAGTGCAATGATATGATGGGTGAGTGAGTAAGTGAGTAAGTGAGTAGTCTTTGATGCTGCTTTGAACAGTATTAGTAATACCATATTCGACATAATAAGCGCCCCACTCTAATAAGCGCCCACGGCGATATTCGCTAATAAATTTGCCAGTGAACAATCCTAATTAGCACCCCTTCCAATTGATCAATGTACACAAGACTTATATATTCGCTTAAAATACACACTCATCTGTTATATGCACACTTAATTATGGGCAATTAAATTCTGGAAAAATATATCTGTCGTACATAAACATTTCAGGCTGCCAGCATAAACCACGAAATTTACCTTTTAATTCTGTTTTTTTCCACTAAAATAATATTCTAATAAGCATGATAAGAGCCCCCTATTTCCAATTTTGAGAGCGCTCTGGGCGCTTATTACGTCGAATACGGTATCCTGTGTGTCAGCCTGACACTTACCACTTTGGAGAAAACAACAAGCATGGGTATGGTACTGACAAACCAAGATCATAATCAGGAGATTCTAGTATTCGAACCCATGATCATAGAACACCTAAGTGATGCAACACTGCACACAGTAAATTGTGACGCCTTTAAACTAGGACATCCATTCTCTCCCAGTGAATCCAGCATGGATGGCACTATCCAGCATGGATGGCACTATCCAGACAGCTTGAGCCAAGTCTGTCTCATGTTAAAGGTGTCCTGGTTTAGTAGAATTTCAGGCTGTTTACAACTGTACTCTTAGGTTACAACTGTATGGTAGGGCTGAGACTGGTAACTCGGGTACCCGGGTCGGGTAGGTCTTGAGTAGGACCTGGTTACCCACAGTACTAACCGGACCCGTGGTTTGTCACATGATATATAGTTTAATGACAAAAGTTATCTAAAACTCTATGGTTACACTACATGTCACTAATGTTCACATTTCTCTCTGACTATGCACCAATTCCTTCTAACCTTTGGTTTGAATAAAGATAAAACTTCAGTCAACTTCAGTGTGTGCATGTCCAGATCGTTTTATACATGTGTCCAAATACATTTTGCTAGGGCTACAGTCAAACTATTCTTAATCGGATAATTTGTACCTAACTCTTGAGACCTACAGCGGGTACCCGGGTAGGGTATAGTAATAGCGGGGTGGGTACCCAGGTGGTAGGGCTGGGACGGGTAACTCAGGTACATTTTAACCCACAAGATAACCCGGACCCGTGGTTAGTAGCGTGGTATATTGTTTAATGACAAAAACTATCTAGCACCTTGATTACATTACAAGTCAGTAATTTCTGCATTTCTTTCTGTCGCCTCACGCATTCCTTCTGACTTTCATATGTTTGAATTCAGTCAACATCAGTGCCTGCATGATCAGATCGTTTTGTATGTGTATCTTAATACATTTTGTGAAGGTGACAGTCAAACTATTCCCAATTGGACATTTTGAACCCATCTCTTGAGACCTACAGGGGGTACCTGAGTTGGGTACCCGGGTAGTACATCTGGACTCGTCCCAGCCCTACTATCAGGTGTCTTAGATTGCGTTATAGTCGCAAAGGATATACATGAATTGCTGTAAGTATCAAGTGTATCTAGTAGGGTACACACAATGTGCTGATCTCTGACCATGCAATCTGAAGACAGGGAAAATCTACTAATGAACAAAATAGTTATCAAAACAAAATGCTCACCATGCCTAGAATGCCTACATTGAACTTTTATGTAAATTGAGCTTCTGATTGAACACAAATTCATTAACGGCTTGACTTCAAACCAGATTATACCCTGGTACACAGAAACATGAAAGCAAACTCAAAAATTCCAGTTTTCCTGAAATTGAACTTTTGGCAGGGACTTGTGTCATGTGTATATTTCCTACTTCACTAAATTCATTGGGAAGAAAGGCTTTGAAGTTTTTAGAATGTGATGAACTTCATATGGAACAAGATTTCATGAGAGTTGTATCCCGTAGTTTTAATTGATAGAATGGAGAGAACCACAATGATTCCATTTGAATCAAAATTTTAAACAACACAAAGTGTATTTAGCTTAGATTTCATTTGATCTCATTGCATGGTGAATAAAAAGTAGCATTGCCAATCATGTCACATTTTATAATTGATTAATTCTTAGATTCAGTTACTTCTATTAGATATTTGATTATTCTAAATATTGTGTTAACGATAACAATCATCCAAAGGCCCCTGAAGCAGGATAGCTATAATACTGAAACACTGGACCCATAGTCTATTTCTATATACATCGGTCCGGTGTTTCAGCAATATCATTATCCAGCGTCAGGGGCATGTAGTATCACCTTCTAAATTTGAACTATTATTGTGTTGGTCCACTAGTTGAGACTTCAAAATAAGTCGGCATGCCATTTTGTGAAATCGTTCCAAACACAGTCAAAGAATATATCTGAATTTTCTGATATCCAGAACTATGACATCTATTTACAGATCAGAAACTACTTGGCAATATAATCAAGTTCGCGTGTTCGAACAGCCTAATCATTGTGGGATGAAATGTGAATCAAATTGAACCATGTGCAGTTGCCTTGCGTAACATAAATATTGATAAAACTCGAAAATATGTTTGCCATAGCCTTAAGTTATCTAATTCGTGGTTTTGCATGCGTCAAGTCAGAGTTATCAACCTATTCTTACATGTCCGTAAAAGAAGAATATTGGCGTGATGTTTTCTTTTCACAAAACGAACCGGTGATCTAACCTCTCGCGAGATTTGAAGCAGGTGCCCGGTGAGCTGTATGCATACCATGTGACTAATCACGCGAGATTCAACATGGCAGCCTCCGTTGCATTCATGATGCGCTATCTTCAGACCAATTCTGCCAAGTGTATAAGTAAAACGTTGAGAAATAAGGGGAAAATCTCACATATTCAACAATGTAACAAACATAGCAATATATTACTTTTCGCAAACTCGACAAATATTACAGTTCCTTCAGTTAGACGATTGTGTAGAAATGCAGTGAATTATAGTTTATTCGATACTCATATAAGCAGACGAATGTTTTCGACATCAACTGTCAGACTCTATTCATCGGGCAGAAAATGCTGGAAGTGTAATAAAGACACATCTTCGTCATCGGAATTGTTCTTCTGTGAATGTGGTGTTGTTCAAGCTCCTATCCGTGATATGAACTATTTCTCTCTTTTTGGCATTGACATAACCTTTGACATTGATGAACAATCCCTGTCGAGGATGCACAAAGACCTCCAGATGAAACTGCACCCAGACAAGTTTACTCTAAAATCAGAGGTATGCTTTTGATATGATTCGAGCGTACAAGTTATATTATCTTTCGAACATGCAAGATTAGGGGGAATTTATTAATGTTTATTACATCACAGAATTGTAATGTAGATCTAAGGATGGTTTCAACAAGGGAGTACCCAGCTCACACTCAAAGGAATCCATACAGTACCCAGATAACGCAGAACATACCCACAAAGGGAAATATAGTCACATGATAATAAAGATTTCATGATGTAGCTCCTTGTGGGAAACGAACTGAGCATGGTGTTGACAATAACAAGAGGAGTTTCCTCGAAGGACATGAAATACTTTCCACACTGGGTCAAAAGCTTTCATGAGGAAAAACTGAATAATGAGACCGATAATTGGATCAAATCCATGAATTGTATATTTGGAAGGGGGAGAATAAGATCTACTTAGGGAGCGCCCTTTTTATATCTATGGGTGTGGGGGGACCAATATATTTTTTCACCCGGTTATATGTACCATGAAACAATCGATTCATTTTCACTATTAACACACATTTTTTAAGTTTAGGTATTTTCAACCAACCAAACTATTTCTTTTTCACCACTGCCAACAAACTATTCATATCTGGCATACTTCTAAACAAACTATTCATTTAAAAAATATTCCCCACCTTCCACAGAAATCTAATGGATGCTCCCTCAACACATTTTGTTTTTTTAACATGATTAAGAAAGCTATAAAATAAAGGTAATGTGATGCGATATTTCTCTTTGCTGGGAAGGTTTTTGCTAGTTTTGCATACTGTACTGAAAACAATTGTGCTCTCAGGTATTACTGGGTGCTGTCTTGTATAGGCGTGCACCCCTGAGAGGATATCGTAAGTCTGTGTCATTCACAGAATATTTACATTTACTACGCTTTTAAACGTAGAATTTCTGTCATTTTAATTGTGGCCAAAATTATGTACAATCGCCAGCGACTGAAGGGATGATGTAAATCCTGTTAGGGTCCATGCAGGTAGCTAAGGTACTGTAAGTCCCCTTGGTCCCTAGTATGGTGATCTACCTTCAGTTGCTGGCGATCTATAGCCCGTTTTTATAATGTAATGTATATGTATAGTGCTATTGATTTTATGATTACGTACTAGTTTTAAATTTATTGCTGTGCTAAGTCTAGTTGTTTTACTGTCCCTCGTTGACAGGTTTTGACATACGTTTCAATATATGTATTATTTTTAACTATTGATAGTCACGATATGGCTGAAATACTGCCGATGTGACTTAAAATTTTAACTCACTCACTCACTATAGGCGTGCAGGACGGTACATGGGGTACTCCCCATCCATACAGTGATCCTTTCCACAACAGTTAGAATTGGTCTTCAGCAACCCATGCTTGCTGTATGAAGTGACTACTAGGAACGGGGGTGGGGGTGGATGGGGGTTGTCAGGCTTGCTGATCTGCTGATGCATGTCTACATATCCCAATTGCATTATTCATGATATATATAACTGGATTGTCTGGTCCACATAATTTAAAGACCACTGTCATGTAGCTAGAATATTGCTGAGTGTGGTGTTAAACCATCTAAAAACCCAAACTTTTGAGAAAATAATAATGTATTGGCATCTTTCTCTGATCGTCACATGCATCATTGAGAATTTATCATTCTCGATACCATAAAAAATATAAAACCCTTGGAGAGTTCCAAATTTGCATAATTTGTCATAACCCTAGTGTTGACATTTCCCAAGATTTACCCTAGATTCAAATACCATAGAAGTCCTCAAGGGTCCCAGGACACCTGAGACAGTATAAGACCGGCATTTGATTTCAACAGTTACCCTTTATAGAGAGAGGTATATATTCAGTATATATGTTTGTGTATGTTTTGTATGTTTAGGTAATATTACTAGGCCAGGCAGTCTTTTCATAGATGCCTTGTATTTGTTGTGTTTATTGAAAGGCCTTTCCAAGACTAAGGGTTACAGATCAGATTACAAATAAAAACATCCAGTTGTAGAGATTAATGCCAATTGGTAATGCTTCTTCAAGACTGGGGCGGTCGGGTAGCCTAGTGGTTAAAGGTTTGCCTGTCACGCCGAAGACCCGGGTTCGATTCCCGACAGGGGTACAATGTGTGAAGCCCATTTCTGGTGTCCCCCGCCGTGATATTGCTGGAATATTGCTAAAAGCGGCGTAAAACCATACTCACTCACTCACTCTTCAAGACTATTATTAATCATGGTTTTACTGATTGTTGTGAAAATCCTGGTTGCTGGGTTGCAATAATAATAACATGAAAAACAAAATTTCATAAAAGTTAACAAGTCTTGTAGTTTAGTTTAACATTTTGTATGCACAGTGTGTTTCTGGTGAAAACAGAAGTTTACACTTTTCAGATTTGACCTGATTTTAATCCAGTCTGTTATATTTTGGATTTGGGAAAAATACACATTTAAACACAAAGGTCTTGCCTTACCATAGTAATCCTTTGATTGTAGGAGGAAAGAAACCATGCTGATCAGCAATCAGCACTTGTGAATAAAGGCTACTATATGTTGCTGAAGCCACTGTCGCGAGGCCTGTACATGCTGGAGCTCTGTGGCTACCCCATCGAGGAGAGCACTGGCGATGTCGACCCAGACTTCCTCATGGACATCATGGAGATGAATGAACGACTGGACGAGGCGGGATCAGATGAGGAAGTTCGAGACATTGAGGAAGAAGTTACAGCTCTTATTCAGAACATTATCAAAGATATATCATCAGCATTCAAGGAAGAAGACCTGGATCTTGCAAAGAAGTTGATGATAAGATATCAGTATTTTGGAAATATTGATGACAAAGTACGAGAACGTTATAGGAGAGCTATGTAGTGAACATCTCTGTTTTCTTGAACACGTTGAACATGTTGAAGAAGTGGTACTAAAGAAAGGAACAGGAACTGACTAGGTCTCTTTTGCCTTGATTCAAAGTGAAATTGCATCAACTAAATGGACACCATGTATAATTGTACATAAAATATTGGCTGTAACAAATCCAATTTTTTTCCCAAATTGCAACAAATGTCAATACACTTTGTGAGGAGTGCATTTCAGACTGATTTTAAGGTTGATTTGAGCAGAGCTGACCATATATTGACAGGACCCTGATTCATGGTAGGCCGATAATGGTAGATTGAAAAAATGATGTCCACAGTTTGGGGCACACAAAGTTTGACATGGATAAGTATTACCTTTAACGTAAACCTGAACCTAAGGTTGGGAAAGGGTCCTTTCAGGTCTTAGAAGGTAGAAACAGGATAAGGAATCCCTTGAAGGTGGGGACAAGATTGAACCACACGACACATATGGAGGCATCAACATGTCATCCTGGGGCATGGTGTGACCTGATGAGGCAATGATCAGTCTCACTCATATGACACTGGAATTGGTCCTTTTTGCCACAAATATGATTTTTAAACATTGTACATTAAACCTTTACACAAGCAATAGTGAGTGTGACTTGCACAAAGTGTTTTTGTTATTCAAGAATAAACAATTAAAGTGATATATTGTGTTACTGTTATGGTTTATGATTGTCAACATTCATTCCACTTTTCAGCATGCAAGACACAGTTCACTTAAATGTATTAAAATTGCAGACACACTCGTGCATGGGCCACAAGGAAGTATTTCTTTTGAATATAACAATATGATCTGTCACTTGGTTGTTGTGTCCTTGTCAAGCGTCACGAAGAAGTAAGAGTTATACCCATTCCTTCAAGGTGTATCAAGCAATACACCGACATTGTTGTTGTAATGCCATGAAGATCTGGGTTAGAATAGGTATGCAGCAACCCATGCTTATTGTAAGAGGCTACTGACAGAATAGGATGGTCAGACTCACTGACTTGGTTGATGCATGTCATCGTATCCCAATTGCGTAGATCGATGCTCATAATGTTAATTTCCGCCTACGAGGTCTAGTGGATTAATCGTTTGCACAGAGAGCTGATGGTTCAATCCCTGGCTGCGTCATACCAAAAGACGTTAAAAAATTGTACTTCTTGTAACCCTGTCTGGCGTTCGGCATTAAGTGAATTAAACAAGGACTGTTCAGCCCAGAGTCAGTTTTCTGTGTCCATGTTAAAGTTGTGGAATAATATCTCTGTGGGATAGCACTATAAACCAGCATTAGTCCCGGACCATTACAAGCAGAAATACACATGTGCATGTACATAAACATCAATAACCCTACAAAGATCTCACTTCAAACTGATGTGACCAAGAGTCACAAGACCATGGAGAGAGGCCATTGGGGACATCTATCCTCTTGTGTACAGAGTGAATCTCTGCACCTCCAACAGGTCAAGTGCTGATCCCTGCACTCAACAACAGTCAACAACAGAGATGGAGATGCCATTCTTCCCGCCAACACGTCACTGAATAACTTCTCACATGATCAGTTCAATTCAATCAACCAAAATAATAATATACTAAGTTCCTAAGTATCTCATAAATGCCCAAAGAAAATATATAGATTAACTACAGTGTGACAATTACCAAACTGAGCCAGACAATACTCAGAGTTTCAGAGGTTGACTCTAGTACACACAGGGAAGAAGTGAGGTTTCCTGCCTTGTGTATGTGCAAACCATTGGCAGTAGAAGACGATTATCCACACAACTGATTATGGAAATGTAGTGGCCATAAAATTTCCCGAGTCCCGTGATTGGATTCCGTTTAAAGGTCAGACACCTTGTCCACATTACCAAAGAGGTTAACTCCGTCAGCAAGCTGACAAGGTAAGGATATCCTCTGTGGGATGACTCAACACCCTGCTTCAGATAGATGACAGAAGTCTTCTGTTGAAAATCTCAAGATTGGTTTATGGTGTTAAGACAGCCAAAATATAGTATTATGGCAATGATGTAATAGAGGTAGAGTATTTGCAGGAGTTATCACTAAACAAACATTGCTAACCTCCCCCAGACATCACTCCCAAACCTAGATGTCATGTGCCCAAACATCCACCCAATAGATCATAGTGTACAAAGTTTAATCAAATTTGGTGCTATATTCATACTGAGAGACCTTGACCTTCATTATTGACCAATCATATTCATCATGGTGTATGGCATGTATTTTACTTTGTTGGTCAAGAACAATGATGGGGACTGTTGGGTGGCATGAGAGTATTACTGTACCTGCAAGGTTCTAAGTACGAGAGTAGCCCCTTCATTGTCATTTGCTCAATTATGAATCAGAACCTACCACCAATACACTCTTAGCTAGCAAACACTACTGCCAGACCTTGACCAACTTGTCAGATGCTACCAACTACGAAGCCCAAGGACAATAACTGGGAATGAATGAACCACACTCTGCATGCACTTCAAAGATGACCTCAACATCTGACAATGTGGTAGGATTTGTTAGATAAATGAAAACAAAGTCCCATGCCTGTAACTGACCTGGGCCTTGTTTCACGATCGTAACTCCCATGCTTTGACATAGGTCAAAGACAATTATAGCACTAAGATCGCTTTGAGGAACAGGGAGCAGGTCTCTGAAACTGACATTGACAAAACCATGCTTTCCAAATCGCTAAATGCAAATCTGAACTATTGACATTTTTTTCAAAGCAGGTTTCCATTCAAGAGCTATATAAGATATATCTTATAAGTTTATTGAAAAAAGCTTCTTAATGTTTTTAAGAATGGACACTTAACCATTACTGTTATTGTGAGATGTCTCTTGTGACCTTGAAATTTGACTTCATGACATGGTCCCATGACCATGTTGAATATGTTTTACAGGCAAAACTGTCTACAACCGTTGTATAATAAAAACAAAGGCAGTGTCATCAATTTGAAACTGTTAATGAAATCAAAAGAAGAAAAGATCTTTGGGTATCTAAGTTCCATGACAAAGGTGCTTTCAAATTATATGCATGTCCTGTTGCAATTGTTGTACCTCTTTGGGACAATTTTGTAATATAAGCTGATCTCCTCTGGCATGATGTAAAGGTCTGACACATCCAACATTACCCATATGGTTGCTTGGAAATGTGTGCCTTGATTAAGTAGGACAGTTTGAAATTGTGCTTGCTGATTAAGAGTTTACAAATGCAAATGTTAGAAAGATTCCTGACCACTGGTGAAGAAGTTGGTCCAGCCAGCCATGGCAGTGTCATATGTTTACTGTAACCTGACCCCTGAAGAGTTTTCTTGCAGATAACAGACCCTGAACCTGAGGAAAATCTATGCTTGCTTTATTTGGGGCATTTGCATTACAGAAAGAGCTGAACGAAAGGTAAAATAATGGTTCAGAGACTGTGAGGCAGTCTACTCACCTGTATGTATTTGTGTTTTGTAAAAATTGGATAATTATCCTCATTTTCTGTTCTCTTAAAATAAGTGCAAAATATGAATATTTCAGACATAGGAAGCAACAGATCATTTCAGATGAAGCAATGACTGCTAAATAAACACACTGAGAAATGGCAAGTATTTCCAAGTTTATTTACATTTAATATGCACATAATTACATTGGTGTATGTACATAGGCAGACTACAAAATCTTTCTCATTTCGGCAACCTCCATTTGACATGAATTGGGAGCCATATTCAAGCAACAAGGCAGTATAAGAATTTACAGCATGTACAATAACATCACTATACAACACAACACTGGCATGGATGATGTAATACAGCAAGCACCTACTTCAGCAATCGAGGTTAAGGGGCAAAGATCACAGTAAATGTCTTAAAGTATACCAGGTTATGTCATGAGAAAATAATCTGAAATAAAACAATATCTTTTATCATGTTTTTGTTTGCTTTATAAGTGAACAAACTCAAGAATTGTTTTGATGAAAAATTGATGAAGTTAATAATTTCTCTAGCATGAAATTATGAGAACACTCACTCGAGGTGTAGGCATTTCTGAACAGAAATATTTGTCTGTCAGCAATTTTGATTTGAGCAGATGACAAACACTATGAGATGAGATTTTCTATCCTTAATTTCCTTACATTAAGTCCATGATTAAGTCATGAAGGAATGACAGAAAATGTATGAAATGGAAATAAAAACAAGATTCACGAATCACTATCTTGAAAATGAAAAGTGAATACTGTTCATTGCACTATGGAAGACAAAGCAGCTCATAAATTGGTTCAGATTAAGTGACTGATATGTTTATTAATATTGCATTGATTTGAAGCACAAATTTTGGCTGGTTCTTGTATGTCTCTGGGGTGATTGAAATGATAACAAGACGTAATAATGATGATAATTATCACTAAAATGTAATCACAGAGTTGGAACTTGGATTGCCCCCTAGCCTGGTCTAACTGAAGCAGTGGACGAGGGAGTATCCAGTACTAGCATCAGTCTCTCATAAGGCGGAACAACAAGTTACCTGATAATTCCATGTCTATATGCAATTAGTTAAAACACTACAAATAGTTCCAGTATCTTCACTGAATTGTACTAAACTGTCATACATGAGGTCATACAAAGTTCAAATTTGGAACAGATAGTTTGTTGCTTAAACATCAAAGCCAGCAATATTCAAAACAAGTGAAGGATCATCCAATTCTTTCATACTATTACAGTCTATCTGTCCTGAAATGATCAGGTGATCCTTAACTTGTTTTTAGTAGCATATATCATGGCAACCTGTAAGTAATGTAGTCTGTCGAGGCCAAACAGTGGCTACTGGTATGATCACCATCCAACACTATTGGGATAAGACCAATACACATCTGCCAACGCACAGCCAGACCACCCAATCCCTGTTTATTCTGGTATTACTACAACCATGCATTAAGACTCTTATCTCCTATGTTGGTCATGATCAAAACGGATAACAAATGTATTTTCAAGTAAGAGTATCTAGGGATGTCCTACATGATCAAACAACATACTCTGGAAGAACATCTATATATGAAATACATTCTTCACAAGATAATGATATTGAACAGTCACGATTGATCTAATTACATATCTTGGCTTGGATTGACATATATAACTTATGATTTATACTTATGATTCTAATGAGAGACTGAAACTGGAGGTCTATCAGGCCTGGATGAAACATCACGCACAATAAAGCCGATATTGAATAGAAATACCTGTATATACTTATGTACATATGACTTAGTCTCAATGTGTGATTTTGCATTGTTAACTTGGTGAATATGATCACTCACAATTCAGTAGCATCTTGTTGAATGGGCACAATAGCATATAAACTTGAAGGCAGAATGAAAGAGAAAACTTCTTACACTTCGGATAACTCAGAAAAAACTACTCCTTTGAAATAGTCAGTGAGGATGTTTATTGAATGCATCGGAGGCAATGTCACATAAAACATGGCACCTCTTTCTATCACAGAATCCGTTATACAGGCCAAAATTTTTTCACTTATGGCATCTCAAGCAATGAATTTTTAACTTGGTAGGAGCAGCCCTTTTTTGTACTCTGTTTGAAAAGTGTGCTACCTTGGGTCAATTCATTTTTAATAATAATATTCATTTACTCATATGAGAAGGCTTTTGAAACATGATTCTTTAAACCATAGCAGTCATATAAAAAATATCACCCTCCTTAATTTCTAACAAATGTTACAAATGATATAACTGTGTTCTGATTACTTGATTGTATCATCTTCCCAACATATTTTTCTGAATATTGAACAATAATGTTATACTTTATTATCATGATTATACTTTGTTAAATATTTTGGACATGATACTGTTAACATGCTTAAGAATCCCCAACTCAAGACATGTCAACAAGTTATGAAATCGGAGAAAAAAATAAAAGGGAAATAAATTTTAGAAAACCTTTGCAAAGAAAGTGACATACATACTTAAAGTGTGGGAACTAAAATCGATAAGACATATATATAGAAACAATGTACTTAAAAACTCATGATATGTTAAGAGAACACAATGTGTCACATATATACAGCAAAATCGTTAAGAAGATAGAACAATTATAGAACAGAAATGAATGAAATGATCTAAAACGACTTCATTTGTGTTTTGTTAAGAAGTTACATAAAAGCAGGTAAAAAAGAGTCAAAAGTGCTCGACAATATAGTCAGGCTTGGGCAGCAAGCACTTTTACTTAGTAAAGATACTACCTTTGAAAGCTCAACTTTTTAACATCAATCGAAAATATTCATATTCAATAAGAATGTATTCAAGCAATATCTTAAAAATTCTTCATAAATGCAAACAAGAACAAGAAAAAAGAGTAATGGCAAATGTGTGGTATATGTACACAATGCTCTGGCTACAGCTCCTGCCGGCCCGTGTGAAATGGTCTGTGTTCAATAAATTAACTCATAATGCACATAAATAACAAATACAAAAAAAAACACATACAAAAGCTAATCAGTTTCAATTCATACCATTATCACAAATGTTCATTCATGCTATCATCATGTCTGCACAGTTTATATCATGTCAGTTAAAATAGAGCCTCTGGGCCCTGCAGCTCACATGCATATTGTATGTATACTTTCAGAACCATTTAAAGTACTTGTATGAGAGATGAAATAACTTAAAATATACAAAAGGCAAAATGGCTAGTAAACAACACAATAACCAATGTTCAATACATCAAAGTGGTATTTTCAATATAATTGCCATGACTAATGGAAATCTTCTGACTAATGAGCCAACATAATAGTTTTATATTGCTGCCATGTGAAATGTTGGCTTTCAAAACCTTGGTGAGCCTCTTTCATCAGCAATATTTCTGGTATCATTCAATTTTCAGTTTCAGAAGCTCAGCGAAAGCAGACGTTACAATAGTTTGATGATGGACAGCACACTGTGATGCAATGTCACTTGGATCTTTGGTAGCTGTGTTTGCTTTACCACTGCATGCACGCTTTATTCATGATTCACACCACATATTCAGCTTTTAATACAAGTAACTTAGGCATGTGTTTTCTTGTAGCTGTGAACATCAACAGTTCAATAACGAAAAAACTACAGAGGTAGACCCACTGGTTAGGTAATGCTATAACCAGGATAAAACAAAACAATTCGTCATTTTACCCGATCTTATGAAAATGACATGACCACACAGTCTGTAACTATACATTAACTAGATTATCCAATCCAATTAACATAATAAACATTTCAACAATTATCATTAATTAAACATTAATCAACTTAACATTTTTGCCAGTATCCAATGACAATTCAAATAACTCAAGTGACATTCTCAGCTGTTAATTTTATAGTAATAGGTAACTCTTTGTGGCAAAATTCCCGAAGGGCATTATCTTACATTCTGCCGACAAGTCTAGAACTGAAAGCTTGACAGGGCAACTGTAGGTTGTCCAGAATCCTGACTTAACTACACGGGGTCTTCTGAATCCATTTCTCATCTCGCTTGAAACAATGGCGAGAGATTCTTTACTACTGTAGAAAGCTGCCTTGAACTTCACTCAATCATCCACACTGCCACACAATCTCATGCAACTGTAAGTTGGCCCACAACTGAGACACAGGCTTGCAATTCAGCTTTCTTTGTAATCCCCTCCTGTAGAGTCAATGTTTCCAGGGGGACACACACCATCATCAGACTAGGGTGACTGGGTAAGATGACAATGATATGACTTCATGAGTAGGTCAAATACATTCTGTACAGCAAAATAAGTAATTTTCCCATGAAATGATATATTATTCAACAATACAACATTCAATGCTAGCATGGTGTCGTCCTTGGAAGTCTCATATGTATGTGTCCATTGGCAATTCCATTAAGTTGTGTGTAACTACTGTTACTACTTTTACTGCTTCCTTTGCTCCCATCACTATACCCTACCCCACTGTTGGGACTTGAGCACGTACTGTTTCGATGTCCATTTGGCATTTCCTCTAACACCACACATTCACATGGACTGGTATTGGAGGAGTCCCTATGATGGTGCCGTGAGGGCGACCTCTGCATCTCTACAGAATTTAGATTGGAGGGCTCAACAGCCGACATAAAAGGTACCCGAGACTCATCATTGATATCTAGTTCATCATCGGATTGTTCATTGAATTCTACATTTCCATAATCTTCTTGGTCCTCTGTCGCCTGTAAGTTTTTGTACTCAGTACCAGAGTCTACTTTATTTTCATCACTGAAGAAATATGACACATCCTTGAACTTTGGATCAAGATCAGGTACCAACATCTCAATAATTTCCTTGAATGTTGGGCGCTTTTTGTAACGGTATCTCCAACACTGGCACATCAGATCATAGCTGAAACAGACATCAGGATTTAGCATACAAATGATGTAATAAATGCACCACCAATACCCAGGATTAGTACACGGACCCATTTCTTTACTAACTATAAATTATTAAATTGATCAGTTTATCATAAATGAAATACAATTTTCCCAACTACCTAAACATAATAGAATTTGCATATCATTTGCAGTGATACATCAGGCTAAAAGAAATAAAAGTCTTGGTTCTCAGGCACTGCCCACATCATCATAAAGTTCATTGCATGTTTCGTTTTTTTGTTTCCATTTTCAATTCTTTTTTGGGGCATTGTGTCAAAGTATTAGGATTTTTATATTTTTTTGAGTGCCTGAGAACCAAGCCTCATGGGCAAATTATTTGATCATTTATGTTACTGGACATAAAATATGTTGCTATACTTTGCTTTTTGTTTCTTTTTAGACTAAAAAAACAGAGAAAATGGTTAATTTTATTTATCCAAGTGCAAATATACATGAATACATTGTGATGAACAGTACCATGTGTTACAATCATTAACTTTCAGATTTTTATACTAGCATACATACACATTTTTCTACAAAAAATGTCAAACAAGAGACATCACAAAATGACAAATCCCCCTGGCCCCACAAATTTGTAAGAACAAATCATCTGACTGTTACCTGAAGACCAACTTGATGAGAGAATTTCTATCTAATCTGTCCATATACAAGAGTAGTTATTGAGATATCAAAACAATTCCAAAAAAGTGGAATTCGGAACTTTGTATTTCTGTCAGGTACACACCAATATGAACGATGGTTATCGAAAGTTCTAGGGGAATAAAAGTATCTACTCACATCTTTTCAGGGCAGCCATCAGGTTTCTCCATGAATCTACCGTCAGCTACATATTTTAAAACTTCCTCATTCGACAGTCCTTGATAGGGCTGAGCAGCCAGGGTAGCCATTTCCCACAACACAACGCCATAGGACCTGGAATGAGTGAGCATGTATTGAGGTGAGGTAAGGTGAGGTAAGGCGAAATGGGGTTTAACGTCACGTTCAACACTATTGCACTTACAAAGTGACGTACGTACATACGTACGGGGTTCTGCTTAATTTTATAGTGCTAGACCACCAAGATACCATACTGCATTTTAACATGAATACCCAACTCAAGACAAAGCATACTGACTCTGAGCTGACCAGTCCTCGTTTTTGCCTGTTAATGCCGAGCCTCCGGCAGGGCAACAACAAGTACCCTCTTTTAGCGTCATTTTGTATGACGGGGACGGGGATCAAACCCACAACCTTCTACTTTCCCGGCAGCCCTATTTAATGAAGAATGCCTAAAGAGAAACCACAGCCACTGAGACACAGTTAAAGATTCATAAATCCACTGATTTCAGAGACAATGGCAGTCTCTCAAAGGTCTTTGGACTATAAATATCATTAGATCACTGATACATGACAACAAAAGTGAACAGTGAACATATACTAATTGCAATAAATAACTCACCTTTTGATAGGGATATAATACATCATTTCTTGACTCACCCCACTTACAAAGAAAGTCATTACTCATAACATGTAGATGTAATAGTATGAGTCATCCCAGTAATCGTATCTAAATTGAGTAGTATATTAACTGTGAAAAACCCAAATAAGCCTTATGCAGCCCTTCTACAGCCAACACAACACCAGTTTTGTTAAAATTAGATAAGAAAACTAGCAGTTTTGAGTCATGTGTATATAATCAAGTGCACATCATGAATACATTTTCTATTTACACTTCTCAAGACAAAATCTACACTGACACATTCACATTGATTCACATGAATTTACAACTTACCATACATCTGACATGGTGGTAAAAATGCCATCTTTGAGTGACTCGGGGGCCATCCAGCGCACTGGAAGCAGGCCTTTCCCACCTTTCCGGTAGTAGTCAGTTTCATATATGTCTCTTGTCATTCCAAAATCTGTAAAATGTTTATGCCAAATATACATAACAATGTCAAGGGTTAACTTGGGGGAGAAATCTTCACTGGTAACCAACCCCAAATTTTGTAACATATGAATCAGATACAAAGTGGAGCTAAACCAACAACATTATGGTGTTGCTAGGATCATCAATATTAACCTCAGCTTCATACATCCAGTTCAGGTAGATGTCTGACTCAACTTGACCAGCATCTGATATTCCATTCTCATACTCAAAATACCAGTGTTGAATGGCAGCACCGACGATTTTAGTATGTAGATTCAAGGTATTTTAATAACATAACAAAGTATCTTATCCAAAATCGTAATCAATTCTTTCCCACCTTCAATTCACAACATGGCCATATACAAATCATCATATGGGGTCTGGTCATATATTACAGCAGGGCAGAGGGATTGGTCTTAGGGTTGTATTACACTTTGCCGACCCCCTCATTTTATGTAACATTTTTTCATGAGCACCCCCACCCCCACCCCCCCTTGCACATGATCAGTCTCTATGTCAACTATCATTTGATTCTTACCTCCAATTTTCACAGTCCTATCATCAGCAACCATACAGTTCCTAGCTGCAAGATCACGATGTACAAATTTCTTGTCGGCCAAATAAGCCATCCCATCAGCAATCTCTCCAGCCATTTGCAAAATCTGTTTCAGAGTTGGTGGTAATCTGCCCACGTTTTCCTAAAAATAGAAATTGTGATCTTTGCATTTAAACTAAAATATGCTCGTAAACTAAACAGTATGTGACAGTTGTTGTACAGCTTCCTCAATGCCATCTCTATGAGGTCACCAAGCCTTTCCAGGGTGATTCAGCTACCTTCAGGTTGCTGAAATGCATGCCTACTACGTAACAGATTAAAAGTCCCATGCTTGAAGTTCCATTGATAAGGGTGTTCCATGCACTTTCAGCTTAATGACTTTACTTGTGGCTTTGGAAATCTCATGTCCAAAACAAGACAACCAAAAAACAGAAGGTGCCATGCTGATAGCTTCTTGAAGAGAAAAACAAATGACCTTGACCCTCAATTTCAGCCAACCAAATGCTTATTTATTTCTTATTGAAAACATAAGTTCTAACAAAAATGAAATACAAACGGTCTGTTTCAATACACAAAGAACACAACCAAGAATGACCATGTGATTGCCTTAAATGATTTGCCAGAATGCGACTGTCACCCCCACCAAACTGTTTTTTAAACCATGTGGTGCTTGGACTTTACAGGGATACCATATCATGTATACTTCCTTTATTTCAAAGTCACAGTGTAAAAAAGACTTGAAATGAATTACAGTAGGTCAAGAAACTTAGTAAATGGCTTCCTGAAGGGTTGAGTGAGATCAGAAAAGGTCAAAAGTGACCTTCGTAGAAGGCCATGGTCACAGTGAAAATCATTCATAAAATATGTTTGCCATTTTCAACTGATATGCTTTAAGTTTTGTGCATGTAGTTAGTCACAGTGACCTCCTTTCAGTGAGTATCATATGCTATGTTTTTGTTTAATTTAATTCTACCTAGGGACATAGTATTTGGTTGATAACCTTTGGTATGTTCTTGAAAAACTTTTTTTTAACTTTAAGGTCAAATTCACTCTCAAGGTCATACACTAAAAAAAGTGTGTTCAAAAATGGGTTTTTCAGATTAAAAACGATGTTTTATTGGTTTGTTTTCAGTCGTAAAAATGGGTATCTCTCATACCCTCATGTCTAGTCGCACATTTAAAAGGAAGCCAAAAGCTGGAATGTAAACATTAAACTTGTTTCCGTCGCACGCACCTCCCTATGACATGTCACAAATCTCTCAGCGCACCTCTGAGCTGGTCGCTCAAGAAAGTCTTTTGGGGTAGACTGCTAGTTTGTATTCTACTAGTACTTATCGCTTGTCTACAGTTGTTGTTCTAATAAATTAAAAATAATAATATGTCTTACCTGTAGACTCCTTGAATGTAATCCTTGGTAAGCCATTGTACTGTATTAGGATGGAATTTGGTACATTTAAACCTTAGGGTGGGGCACAGTGACTTTCACTGAAGGTCAAGGTCACTAGAATGACGGGTACGCTTTAATAAAAAAATGACAACATAGGCCACATGATTTAAATAAGCTGTAAAGTGCCAGTAAGAGCTGTTACGTATTGCTACTTGTATTACCTCATCATCAGGTCGATGTAACCGAAGAAAATTCTTGAGGTCACCTTGACCCATCAATTCCATAATGACAAGGGCAGGTTGACCTTTGGACACAACGCCAAGTAACTTCACTACATGATGGCATGAAAAGGATCTGAAAAAGATTGTGTTTATTACATAAATGTAACAAGTCAAATATTTTATGCAAATATATTTCACATTCAACAACCTTGAATATTTGTTTGTAAATAAGTCAATTTCTATGATGTTTGCTGTTGCTGACACTGGTGTTACTTACTTCATAGTAGATGCTTCTTTGAGAAACATCATCCTCTCATGCCACCCAGCACTATCATTTACAGTCTGAAACAAAGTCACAGAAGCCATTACATTTTAGCAGAAAATAAATTGAATCATCATATTCAGTATTTAGAACCTGGGCTGAATGTGTCCAGGCTCCAAAGACATATGTGTAACATCTGGCCAGATAAGGTCATGTGTGCATGGAAACATACATAGGTCAGTGTTAAACAAGGAAACTAATACATTCTGGGGGAATGACTTTGGCTATACGTATCAGTGAAATAAAAGTGAGATATTGAAAGACAAGATCTGTTATCTGTTCAGTTCAACCTTGAAATGAACTTGCCCTTTTAATCATGTAGCTCCAAAGATAAAGTCCACTCCTACTGCTGACTTTTGGTGCAGATGGTCAGTGAATCAAGTTTGGTAGAATGTCACAAATTATATGCACCATTATATATTGTAAAATGAAAGGCAACATATTGAATGTACATGAATTACCTTCACAGCAACCTTGACTTCAGCATTGCAACCACCAATGTCTTTGGCTACACCCTCATACACCATGCCAAAAGATCCCTGGCCCAGTTCTCGAATAAGCTTGATTTTGTCCCGACTCACTTCCCAATCATCTGCTATGTAAACTGTAAAAACACAAAAATACTGTTGTATATATTTGTTGATATCAGTATTACATGACCCATATGGTCTTGCATCTACCTATAGTTCGCAATGTATTGAAATGTCCTTGCAAACCCACACTGTTGAAACTAAACTTCCAGCAAGCAACAAATGTACACAAAATTGTATGCACAAATCTGAATGTTATCCAATATTTCCAAATAATTCTTACCATCTGCTGAAGGAACATATCCTGGATTCATAGAGATTGTGGTCACATCAGGATCCTTTGCAAACCTAGGATAATGAATGGAAAACATGTTTGATTTTCTTTTACATTACAAAAGTACACAAATTATGCATGTATCACTGCTTCAATGTACTTGATCAAATCTGCATTTCATAACATGTGACTATGATCTACAATCTCAGCAAATCAATGCTAGAGAAGTTGAGCTGTAGGTAGTGCTACATATATGAGTGAGGGAGTGAGAGAGTGAATATGTTGTACGCCTCATATCACTGAAACCTGTATATAATCAAACATGGTAAACCTGTGACTAAAAGCATGAGCAACAATGCTTCCCTGTTTTTATAGTGAGAATTTAGGATTTTATTCATGTTCAGATATTGGTATATGATCTTACAGTCGAATGACAGATGAAATACCACTTACTTGCTCTTGGCCACAAACCATACAATAATGATTGTGATAATGATGACAAGCAAAACACCAATCACTGCTGCAGCTATTACAGCTTCGTTTGTTGTCCGCACTGTCAAAAGAACCAGAGACAATTGAAACTAACAATCATCCATTTGAAATTTTACCAAATTAGAAGAAAGTTGATGAAATCATTGCCACTTGACAGGGAATTTAAAGGTAAAATTTGGTTACTGTTTCAAATGTAAACTTCATAAGTCTTATATGTATCAATAGTATCTACAACAAATAAAACATCCACTTATTTTACTTGATAAAGCAATTATAAAACCATTGCAAGTATATTAAACCATGTGAACATTTTGATAACCTTAACACATCCATAAATCCAAGAAATGTCATCAAATAAATGTTTTGCTCACCATCAATTTCAGGCACCACAAAGAAGAAGGGTTGTGTGAATGACCCATTCCCAGCCAGAGATGTGGCTTTGATGCGAAATGAATAATTCCCTGGGTTAAGTCGCTGAAACTTATATCCCCCTAATTTTCTATATTCCTTATGAGTGAAACAGATGCGGGTTGGCTCAACCTGAAATTTGCAACAAATAAAAGACATTAAAATAAAAACAAATTCAAAATCTGTTAAATATCGTTCACTGAGTGTAAAGTTATTATTTCTAACTGATACTTGGGCTCTTTCAGTGCTTCAAGGAACTTGATTGCATTTATACTTTGTTATCAGCATTACTTCATAATACTTTTATAAGAGGATATTAATGCAAGCATATTACAATGGGTAGAGATATCATTGATAAAAAAGACATGGCTACCATGTCACAAATCTGAGGAGGCACAGCTGAATTATCCCCTCAGCAGAAAATCACAGGAAACAGTAAAAATGCCAATCAGTAAAACTGTTTCAAACAGTAAAAATGCCTGCAGACATCACTGGCAACTTTCACAATTTCCATAACTTAGCTTCAAAGGAACAAACATGCTTTTGACAACAATAATATGTGATGAACTAGGCATGAGCATAATATATCTTGCTTTCATTGACATGATGCAAATGCTATGAGTCAGGCTTACATCAGCAGTAGAAATCTTCTTGTATTCTATCTGGAATGTGATGATAACGCCATTTGGGTTCTCTGGAGATTTCCATGTAACCAGAATATCTTGTGTTTTGTTTGTTGATTTGATTATCTTGACAGTTGAAGCATTCACATTATCAGATGTAGCTGTAAAATAAACATATTATGTACACTATTGCCTGGATCATAAAAGGAGAAGATTAGGCTAAAAATAAATAATAGTCTTGGTTCTCAGGCACTGCCCGCATCATCATAAAGTTCGCTGCACGTTTCGTTTTTATTTCCATTTTACAAAAATTCCTGCACTATATTTTCAAAAACCAAAGGTTGCACGGGAATCACGCACATCGATACGCCCAACGCTCGTACCGTATTCGTGCGTGCATGATTCCCATGCAACCTTTCGAGTTGAGTTGATTGGTTCAACTGTGTCATATGGCCCTGTGACGCAGGGGTAGCATTATGCAGATGGCTGTTACAATGAATGCTTGTTCCACCCGTGACGAACAGGTCTGGTTGTTGATGAAATATAGTGATAGCTAAATAGACAGATTTTTTATTCATGCACCGATTGTCTTAAATGTAATATCCAGTTATGTATGAATGTTTAATAATCTCATACCAACTTTGACTGGAGTAGGTCCGATAGTTTTTCAGATATTGTAGTAAACGTCGGTACCTTAAATTACCTTCCAGACTATAACTGAAAAATGAAGTTGATCATGAATATTTCAGTAATATTGTTATGGTAGCAAAAATATCCCAAAATATCCATGATCCCAAACTTTCTAGTTCAGTATATTAAATGACAAAGTGTATTTCACCAAGTCAAGGAATCAATACAATTTGATTCATAAATATTTTCTTTTTTGACTTTTTAACTGCAAAAAATACAGCATGGACTGACAAACCAGTATTTGATAAAATGAAAAACAGTCCACAGCACCATGGTATGGTGACATCCAATTGCCAGTATGGTCAGGTCTTGCAACAAGAATGAGGTACTGGGGATATAGTCTGAACTGGAATCCTTACAGGTGCATTTGTACCAAGACTTACTTGATGGCAGTGTTCTGGCTGTGGCTATAGCCCGGCTGCTGCAGTACTTCATCCCTGTGTGTGGGTCTGATTCTTGGCATGCTAATACCTACGTAACAAAATACGTAACTCTGTACTCTAAGTTTTCCTTCATAAGGTCATCATAAAAAACAATAATGAACAAATTCTTACATGGAAGACATACTTCACAATGGTAAGTAAATACCACATAACAAATTCTTTCATGGAAGACATACTTCACAATGGTAAGTAAATACCACATAACAAATTCTTACATGGAAGACATACTTCACAATGGTGAGTAAATACCACATAACAAATTCTAACATGGAAGGCATACTTCACAATGGTAAGTAAATACCACATAACAAATTTGCCATTTTTAGGTCATACTTAATTACAAATTATTGCAGCAGGGAGCTTATGGTAACCAAACATGATGTCAGTCATAAAAAGCTAGTTACAGATTGCTAATGGTTATTTTAATTATTCACAATGTCATGATATAAGGTGATGTTTCACATATTTAACAATCTATGCTATGTTATTATTTTCGTGAGATTAATCGAAATAGCAGAAACAGTATAAGTATAGTGGCTAAGAATCACAAGGTAGATAAACACAACAAACAAGTCTACATATTAGCCAATGACAACAGTTGTCACGCACTGCTGTGGCTGTAGCTTTAGGCCAAGCCCCAAAATAGGTTTGTTTAGGAAGCTGATTACAGAAAATGTGATTTCACCACTATCACTTTGACATTTAAATAGTTTCTATGAATATTATGATGTTTTCTCTTTTGAAAATTGACTAAATGTATCAAACATAACAAACCTGAATATTGTACTCTTGAAAATGTCCCAAATTGGGGATCGCAATTTCAGTTCCATAAACAACGATCTGATTGAAGACAGGTCTTGTACTATTATCAGAGTTGCTATCAACCGTGGCGTTTCTTTCATCGGGTGATAGACTGCTATCAGTACCAGTCACATTTTTGTTATCACGAGCCACCTTCTTCTTATCCATTGTCACTTTCTTAGCTTCTTTATTATTAGACACATTGTAGGTTATTGGATCCTTTTCCAGTGGTTCATCATCTTGGGTGTTATCTCTCTTTTTACGGTTTGACAACTCAGGCCTGAAAAATAACCAAGTTCATTAATGAAAGATATTTTATCAATCTCAATTATACATGTTTGTTTAATATGGAGACTGACACACTCACCCAAATTCCTTGGGATTTGTGCTCAATCAACTGTATTGTCACCTCTCCAATATTCAACAGTCCATATTCCATTCCCAAGATCTAACGCGATTCTAACTGTTGCTCATCACCAGACACAGGACATACCATCCTTTCTAAATGGCCTCCATTCTGTAGCCCATGCGGGAACCATTGGACCGCTGTAGATGAAGTACTAGAAACTGCCACTTGTTTGAACCAAGCAGAAATCACGAAACTGTTGAAGGCATACTCACCTAGCATTGACCGATTTGTCCTAAGTTTACAAATGGCCCCAATTTTACATTGCTTCACTGACTTACCTTTTAGTATATATCCTATCATGTAAGTCATTCTCAAATTCTATCTGCTGCTGACGCTGTCTCTGCTGTTCCTCAAGAGTTCTTTTGGACTTAGGGCACTGACAACACTGGCCATCCTTTGTCAATGTCTGGTTGATGTACTTAGTCTTCTCATCGTGGGTCTTCACCTTCCGCTTCTTTGGCATCAGGATGGCTGGAAATTGGAAGAAGAAAATATCTCGTATAAATATCAACTGCTCGCTTTACATCATTCAGTGAATGAATGTAGCTCAACAATAGTTGACTCAACACAACATACAATCTTACCAGGCTAAGCTTGTGAACCAAAACAAATATCAACAAGACTGCCCCTCGATACCTTTCTCGTTACACATGCAGTACTTTCTCACTTGAGTGAGTGAGTATGGTTTTACGCCGCTTTTAGCAATATTCCAGCAATATCACGGCGGGGGACACCAGAAATGGGCTTCACACATTGTACCCATGTCGGGAATCGAACTCGGGTCTTCGGCGTGACGAGCAAACGCTTTAACCACTAGGCTACCCGACCGCCCCCTTTCTCCCTTGAACTATAATATTCTGATCTTATGGATTCCCTAGGAATTCTCATTACGGGTGGATGCAAATAATACTTGTAGTAACTACGTACAAACCATGACATTGACCTTGTATTGTACCACAGTCTACTTACGGTTATCACAGTAATCTCTCTTGTCAAAGGCTTCTGTTTCCAGTTCCTGAAGTTGCCAGTAGACAAAGTAATGGGTAACATTGCCATTGGGATGCTTTGGTGGGTTCCAACGCACCCGTAGTTCCCCCTGTTCTTCAGAGTATACCTCCAAATCAGTGGGAGTACTGGGCCCTGGAATTGAATGAATAACATGTCCAGAAACACTGAACAAATGGAGCGAGAGCATGGATGTTTCCTCTACATGCTCCACTGTTACATAACCTATACTTCAGCAGGTCAACCAGGGCCTGACAACAAACCAACACCCTTGATGACACAATTAACACCGTCAGAAATTGGCACTAGTCCTATAGGTATCACAAGGACTAGTAGACATTTGCTCGCATGAATGGTTTTGTTATGTTATCATTATAAGGACTAGTGGAATAAAACTGATAGTTTCCATCACTGATCAAGTTAGGTAATAGCAATGATTCATCTTACTAATGTTACACACCAGAAATGTAATAACCCGTATTGTGACCCCAGTGATAAAGAATAACTGACACTGCCCACATTTTTTAAGGGACAATGGGCTAGCCATATCACAACAGGTAAATGTCTTTAATTGCCTGCAATCATTGACATAGTTTCATGTGCTGAACAAAGATATATATTCATAACCCTGTCAATATCTTTAGAGATAACTGAATTAAACCGACCAGTGATTCTGCCGATGCCAGTAGACAGAAACAATATACAAAGTAGTCATCCTTGCATATCACCTGTAACTGTCTATGTATAATGCACATGGGTTCTGCATGCAAAGGTAAACTCCCCCAAATATTGGAATCATCCCAAGCAAGCATGAAACCCACTTTTTACAAGTCTGAATGCATCTCAAACAATCTAGATTTGTTAATTTTCTAGGATATTGACAGACTATCATCCTAAATATCTAAAAGTGTTATTTAAATTTGGGAATGTTATAGAAGTGTGTCTTCTTAAAAGTTAAAACATCTTGAAATTTACCTAATGTCATTTGTCTTGAGCAAAACCACTACTGCTCAATCTCATTAAAATCAGATATTAGTTCTTGCTACCGCTAAACAAAGATCTGAGGACATCCCAATACAGGTCACGTCTGAATGACCTTTCGTGAACTTTGACCAACCAACGGAATAGCTATCAAGAAGTCGACAACAGCCAATCAGAAGGCAGTTTAATCGAGCTTTACAAACTGGCAACCACGCTTCAAAACATATTTGGACATGTACCTCATTAAAAACTTAAAAACTGAACAAAAGAACATTCTGGAATGGCTAATAGATGGTCTAGATTTGATGAATATCAACATAAAGCCCATTCCTGTCATTCGGAATACCCTCTGTGCGTTTTTTCGAGGTTGCACGATCAAACATCACATTCCAACTGTCACTTTCATGATCTGATAAGCGATGCTGATTGGTCAGATGAAAGGCTGTTCTGACATAACCCGCAATGGGATGTCCTCAGGTCTTTGTTTAGCAGTAGCAAGAACAAAGATATAATTTTAATGAGACTAACTACAGCACCAGTTACTGCCCTCAATCTCAACAAGGGAAATGCAGGAATTGCATGTTGTGAAACATAATTGATGACCGTAACACAGTGAAAGCACTTACTATACGGGTGGGTTGTGAAGAACATGAGTTCACTGTTAGCAGCTTCATTGGCTGTAGCAAGTGAGTAGGTTTGGATATAGGCAGCATACTGAGTCCATGGTTTCAGACCAAACACCAACTCCACTATGTTATCTGGATCTTTGTAGTCATCAGGGTTGGCATCATACGTCTTCCAGCTGTAGATGCAATCATAAGTTCTGTGAAAATTCTTGGATTGCATGGTGGCCTTTTCATTAATACACAGGTTTGGGTGAATTGTGTACCATTAAATACCATCTCTATCATCGTCTACCGTATGATTTACTTATGTTTACACATATTGATATATCCAGATATTCTTATAATCAGTACTTGGTTATTAAATGTATAATCAGTGACAGCAATAATTTCCTAACAGGGTAATAATATTATCAAATAAGCGGTCTTTCCATGAAATCTTCGAAGGACCAAACAGTTTTGTCAATTCCCCCTAGACACTTACGTTGTATCCATGCAAGCATCTCGACCTTGGTAAATGTTCACATCCTTGGATTTTCTGTGGATAAAACAAACCTCATCATATCATAAATACAGCTCTAGAATGTCACACACAAATCTCTCAGACACAGCTTCAAGGACTTATCAAATGCAAACCTACCTGAAGGTACTAAAAGTGTCAGGCTATTTAACAGTCATTAGTTTCATCTTCAACTGGCATTTAGAAGGCTAGAGTTTAATAGTGTTGTGTTGCATTCCTATTAAGTTAATAGGTTGTCAACCTATGTCCAGTATTACATCATATAGTAACAGTCATGTCAAGAATCACAGCATTAAGAATTGTTTCCCCCAAAAAGAGATATTTAAAATCCCCCCCAACATCATGTAACAATGACTGCAGCGACTGGTGCATAAAAGTAGCTTCTAGTCATTATCCTCACAAAGTTTCAGATAGATTATTGTAATCTTCTGGAGTGCTATTTTTCATTGTTGTTCTTTTAATTTTAACATTCTAAACTTAATCATAATCTAAATGCCAAAATTAAATTTGAATCCCATTGTAGAGCTTCTCATATAATCATGAACGAATCATATCATTGTCTCACACATATTGTGATTGTTTCAGCTGAATGAATTTCAGTCTTGAATGAAACAATCCATGAGATTTTCTAAGCTTTGATTCAGTTTCCCTTCCCACAGTATTTGGAGTTGTAAAAAGAAGATCCTAAAAAAAATAATCGAGAAGTTATATTTTCTGCCTCTTTCCCCTAAAAAAGTACTTTTACACTTCACCGACATAAAAATATCTGATTGTGTTACTAACCTTCATATCAATGTTTTAGATTCATAGACAGTGTGGTTTTCTTTCTTTCAGATTTGTTACAACCAGTTGAACCACCAAACAAACACAAGTCACAAACCAGTTTCTGACACGATCAAGAAAATATTTGGTTAACAATCCACAAACCACTGACATGGACAATTTGCCTGTTCAGGGGACCTTCAACCATAATTGAGTACTTACGCTTCCCTGTAATTGATGACATAGCTAAGCAGCTGACGACTATCAGCCAGTTTAAACTTTTGCCAGCTGAGAATGGCAAAATTTGGTCCTACACGAACTTCAAGATCCATCTTTTTCACAGAACCTGCAATCCAAAGTAAATAAGTGTGTGCGGTTACATGTTGTATGACAGTTAACTGCATAATATATATACAAAACAAGTGAAGTAGGTAAACGGTGTAGTTATAATGTTACACAAAGTAGCACAATTGGGATGTTGTTTCAGAGACTAACCTTAAAACAAGAGATGCCATGGAAGATGACACAGGCTTACACAAACATGCAGTTCCAGTACATTTTGTCACGGAGGGACCGATTATTCCAACCAAGTACACACTAGTGTATGAGGAATTGTCTTAACACATACTACATAGTGTTCTTATCACATCACATATACCTTGTGGTTGATACTTACAAGGAATTTGATCTCCATTCGTAAGGGGACTAACATCACTGTCTGTATACTTGACATTAATCTTCGTGAGGAAATCTGTAATTTTGTGGTAGCACAGTTTTCGATTGAAGTGGAATGCAACATCACCAGCTTTGATGGAAATATTTGAAGACACTTCTTTTGGGAATAATTCTTGAAGATTTGCATTGTCCATTATAAGAAGACTGTAGCTGCAAACACAAAGGCAATATATATGTAAATATATTACTGTTGCCTAATGTTAAACAGTACAGTTTATATTATTCTTGTGATATGCTCTGAATAATGGAAAATAGTTTGTCATCAATGTACACACTTGTGAAAGTGAGCCAAATGGATGTGGTACAGATAAAACAAACAAGTTCAACTATCCATGTACATCATCTAAGGTGTTGGACAGTGATTGTACAAATCTTGACGATTATAATACTCTCATGCTGTGAATGAAATTAAAACCTATCAAACAAACACACTGCATACAACATTCAAAACTATGCTGTCTCTTACGTTGTTGTCTAAATTAAGTCAACAAACTCTCAAACAACTGAAACATTTTTATGGTTTTGCAATTTCTTTCACTCACTGGGTATACTGCTTCTTGTCTCCATGAATAACTCGCAGATTCTTGAAGAATCCTAAAGACAACAGAGCATATGAACGGACGATCTTGATGTACTCGGTGACCTCCTGAATCTGTCCCAAACTAGCTTCAAGCTCATGCCCAATATTACCTAGAAGTGAAATATCAAAAGAATCAAGGGCGGAAAACAACACATTTGATGTATTATGAATATTAATTTAACAATATATATGTATATTTGAAGGAAGGAACAAATTTAAGTTCATTTCAAAGCTTAGGTATACATGAAATCCATAACAATTTTTGAAAATGATATAGAAAAGTAGTAGACATGACTCACTTCCACCCATGATTTGAATCTCAAGAGGACCCTTGATCTTTGTGCAGCCTTTCAGTTTTTGAGCTGACTCAATGCTGTCCACAGTCTTTCCCAAGCACTCTGAGGAAAAAAGAAGAATAGTTTAGCAAGCTGTTCCTCACAAGCCAAAGTAACTGACATTGTCAATATTTAACAGCCAACCCAGCAGTATCCAGGAGATGCCGAGTGAACGATAGGTGCATGTAATCAACCATGGTGCCATAGACATTCCAAATGGGAGCACCCTCCTTTCTGGAAAGGAACGGAGCTACCGAAGGCATTCCAGATGAGTGAGTGAGTGAGTATGGTTTTACGCCGCTTTTAGCAATATTCCAGCAATATCACGGCGGGGGACACCAGAAATAGACTTCACACATTGTACCCATGTCGGGAATCGAACCCGGGTCTTCGGCGTGACGAGCGAACGCTTTAAGCACTAGGCTACCCGACAGCCCCCACTCCAGATGAAGAGGGATGAGAAAGTACACAGCTAGTAAATTCCTCAAAGCAAGAAATACCGTCAGTCGAATCTAAAGACATAGAGGAGTCAGCATCAGCATTCGGAAATAAATAGAGGCTCTAGATGCAAATTGTGTCCTGAATGATATGCTTTCACTTTCATATGCTATCATTTTCATATTTCAAGTGCACCCCACCTTTTCCAAAAAGCTGGATCAGCTCTTGAACAGGCATGTTGAAGTCAGAATGAGAGGGAATGTCCCCAGACTACCAGGACTGAACAACACTGTTTCAAATCGATCATTAGAAAAGATGCGCGAAATGTGATAGTTAAGTTAAGAGACTGGACTGCACAATAAAAACTAGTCATTTCAGACTAGTGGTTTAAGCAAAATAAGTAGATTTTGAGTGGTACCCAACATGTAAGATGTCACACTAAAAATAAAATATGTCAAACCTGATATCAATGCAGAGTTTCCAATAGATTTATATTTTGCGGCAATGACCAACTATTATCAAAATTGTCCTAAAGATTTTTCCCTACTCACTAACAATACAGTAAAATGTCCTATCAAACATTTATAAGAGTAAGACCAAGAAATGCAGTAGATTGCTCTACAGCCATATATTTGTATATGTATGTAGCATACTTCTTGTCAATATGATGAAAAGTCACAAGCATATTTTAATTAGCTTCCTAGTTCTGCTAAAAACAGTGCCACAGCACTGTAGCTCATCTGGATATAGTCAACAGTCTAAAATGTCAACAAAGACAAGTCACTTAACAACAAAAGTTGTTGTTAATTGTTTTTGTTGATACTTAAATATTTTCTGCACAAACACAAAACTCGGATGATTTGAACAAAATATGATAAAATGACATACATGTACATGTTTGTAATGAGAAACATACACATCGAAGTTCAGTACCTCAGAGCCAAATATGCACTTTGAGAAAATGAAAAACCATGGTCAACATTTCAAATAACAAACAGACCCACCCAAAAAAATCATATATGTTGAGACAAACTACTAACTACACACGTGTGAAATTTTAATCCATTTACCACAAAAATGAGTGAGTAATGGCCATAAATAGCTTTTTCAAAATGGCTGATGAGGTGGCCACATAAAAAAATTGGATTTGAGCATAGTCAAAGTGCAAAGAGTAAGGGCTATAAACATGATGAATAGTGGGTTTTTTAATATTGTGCTACGACATCCATATTTTGTGACTCCCGACAAAAAGGCCATGACAAAAACTCACTTGACTTTCAGTCAAGTGAGCTAAAAATTAATTCCTTATTCAGTAACATTTTAACTACTGATAACCTGTGTGAAAAAAATATCAGGCAATTCTGATACCTTTAGGGCAGTAGTCTTCACATTTCTTGCACAAGGTTGCATCTTTTTCATCAACACTGTAACCATTTGGGCACTCTTCCACACAAAGACCAGGGGATGGTGTATTGGTGTTTTCATGGCGAATAATCTTCCAGTGGTCCGCCACTGCCTTCCTACTGATGTTAATGCATTCTCTGTCAAGCAAGCATCTCCTGTTCATAAACTGTAAAATGGAAAACACAATAGATCAATCCTCTTGTGCTATCTGTGTGCAGCATGGATATCTTTTACAGTGACTGAAGTTCAGTTGCATTCATGATGTCCCAGACAAGCTACAGAATTATTTAATTTTTAATACTTTAAAATACTCAAATCCCTAATGGCATGTATGGTGACAAAACAACATGCCGGCTTGTACATTTCAGCATAAGGACGCTAGTTGCTGGAAGAGAGGAAGAGACCCTCTGACATATATGCTCTACCAAAGTGTACAGTTTGCTTATCTCCTAACACACTGCTCATTAGTCTTAAAGGACCAGCCTCAGTCCCATCAGCATGTGAAGTTTCTGTACAATTTGTAACAGTTATATCTTCAATACCGTATTTTCTTGAGTATAGTGCACACTTTTTTTCTCCAAAAAACACAGCTGTGTAGAAGGGGGTGCGCATTATACACGAATTAATGAGTTTTGATGTTTTTCCCCCATGGAAAGACATTACCGTGAGCACGTAACATCGGAAATACCATGTTAACAAATTCATACTGAAGTTCGCAAATTATTCATGTAATTACACTGTCTGGCTATAAAAAGTGTTCTTTGTATATCTGGACTTATGTTTGTAACTTATTTCATTAATTTTATTCAAAATTCCTTTTAATATTGTTTTAATTAATTTCGGCGAAATCGTGTGTGAAGCGATCGGAAGATCGCACAACTCACCATTATTAACAGCAACCATGGTCAGATTACCGCTAATGTTGCCTTGAAACGAACTTTAGTTGACAGAGAATGGATACATATATCATAAATGCCATACTTTGATTCGTTAAAAGTCATATTTGTTTTTTTTGGACGATTCTATGTCAACACGTAATTCTCGCGATCATGCGATCACTTGCATGGGAGCCTTGACGGTGAATGGTCAGACTGGTTCCATGTAAAAAATAATACCGGCAATAGCGATCAGCTGCTTGGCTTAGGGTTATTATTATTTTAAATATGTTTAGTAAAAGCTGCATCTAAATTAACAAGATATTGGAATATATTATTCCTGATAAAAAAATGGTTTAAGATACAACTTTTGTCGATCCTTGCATTAAAATACTGTAAAGTTATATCATTGGGTGTGCCTTGACCAAATCACCGGTAGATTGCTGTGTCCGGTTTAGTTTACGAGAAAATACACAAGGTAATCTTAATCCCTGGATATAAAACAATGCCTAGCTGAACAAAAAATACAATTTAAACGGTAAATAAACATGTCTGGTGATTTTTTATCTCAAATTTCGAATTTATACTGACGAAGTTTCTCATCACCCAATCGTTTGCCGGACTTCGCTGAAGGGGTACAGTGTAATTTTTTTCTGCGCATAATATTCAAATTTCTTTTTTTCCAAAATATTGAACCCGCTAGGGGGGGGGGGGGTGCGCATTATACATGGGTGCGCACTATACTCAAGAAAATACGGTAAGTAGAAACAATCTTTCTCAACAATCTATTTGGGATATTCTCAGAATCTGGATGTCATTCTCAACAGATCATGGCATCATTAACAATAACAACAGGGAAACTGATCAATCATCAATTTCATAAGCTATAATGCTTTTTTTGATAATTCAACTCACCATATAAGTCTCTGCTGGACAGGCAGGCTGACAATGTCCATTGTAAGTAACATTCCGACAGGAGATACATTGATTCATTGCCGGCCCTCTGCATCCTCCAACACAGTACTCATGACAGCATGCACCAGTGACTTCATTGCAGAAACCAGCTCCATACCTGCTTGTGCATGGACATTCTGCAAGAAAGGACAACTAATATTGTTTCTGTTCCTTTCATACTTTCACTCACAACTGGTACAAGTAGTTCTGACATAAGATTTTGGTTTGGTTTGTTGTTTAACGCCGCAGTTAGCAATATTCCAGCTATATGACGGCGGTCTGTAAATAATCAAGTCTGGACAAGACAATCCAGTGATAAATATCGATGACATGCATCAACCAAGTCAGTGAGCCTGACCACCCAATCCCATTAGTCGCTTCTTCCGACAAGCATAGTCGCCTTTACGGCAGGCCTAGGTTGCTGAAGACCTATTCTACCCCTGATCTTCCCGGGTCTTCTGACATCAGAGCTCCAGTTCAAGTATACATGTACTCTACCGCAGTGAATAATGCACTAAACATGCTAAAGTGTGACATCTCCTTATTGTACCTTGACATAATATGTATCACTGTTGTGAGCTTTTCCAAATTAGAAGTCACATGCAACTAAGGTAGAGTTGTGTTCAATGAACGTCTATGAACATCCAGTGTCAATATAATTGACAGTGGTAAAACTGCTATAAACATGATCATGATGATAAATATAAGTTTTTGATCATGTTGATAAACATGATAAAGAGATCATTTGAGACAATCATTTGACACTTGACAAATCAATGTTGGAAAATCATGTCCGAGGGCTATAAATATGATACAGGAGATAGATATATGATGGGACCCACGAAGATCCGGGTTGTAATAGGTCTTCAACCAGAGCTACAGATAAGCTGCGTATTTGTGTAAAATACCCCCCAAAAATATTCAAAACCCAATTACTTTCAATTTGCTTGCGTTCAGAAACCCATGCATTAAATGAAAAACTCAAATGTAAATACCCAATGAAGCTAATTCCGAAGCAAAATTACGAGCTAATTTACTTTCAATGTCAAGCCTTTTGTTAGAACCCTTATATATATATATCTGAAAAATTATTTTATTTTTTTGAAATCTCAAAATGTTAGCTCATTTTGGGAAAAACACAAAAGAGTGATGAATAGATGAGTGAAAAAATATTGTTTACTCAATGAGAAATGTAATAACCCATATAAATGTAATAACCCATATAAAGTAGAAACCTCTGGGTAAAAACTCATTTGCTCAAAAAGTTATCTGGAGCCCTGTTCAACCCATGCTTGTTGTAAGAGGATCAGGTTGTCAGGACCGCTGACTTGGTTGATACATGTCATCGTATCCCAATTGCATGACATCAGTCACTGGATTGTCTGGTCCAAACTCGATTATTTACAGACCACAGTGAAATAGTGGGAATAATGCTGAGTGCAGAGTTGAACAACAAACCAAAATCTTAAAGCATCCTCATTTACATGTGGTTGCTGAGACTTAAAACAATATAAGAATTGGTTCTCAGGCAATGACGTTTGAAAATATAGTGCAGGTGGGCGGTGGTTTTAGTTGTTGTTGCTTGTTCAAACTAGTATGTAACCAAATAAACAGTTGTGTATCATCAAATCAACCTGGCAAAGGACCTCCCTACATAAACAAGCATACACACACTCCTATTGCCACCATGACCATAACACAAGATACACAGCAAAGCAGAGTGCATGTATGGGAAGTAACTGTGTGCTATATTGGATCCCATTGTCTTTAAGTATTAGGATTATTATATTTTTTTTAAAAATGGAAATAAAAACAAAACATGCAGCAGACTTTATGATGATGAGAACCAAGACTATCATTTTTTTTAGCCTTAGTAACTAGACAAGCTTAGGCACACGTGTCGGCATGGTCAGTGCATCACAATATCTCAGGGGGCGGTCGGGTAGCCTAGTGGTTAAAGCGTTCACTCGTCACGCCGAAGACCCAGGTTCGATTCACAACATGGGTACAATGTGTGAAGCCCATTTCTGGTGTCCCCTTCCGTGATATTGCTGGAATATTGCTAAAAGCGGCGTAAAACCAAACTCACTCACTCACTCACACAATATCTCAGCCATTTACATGTATTATTGCATAATCATTTGTGTCCAGATAATGTCAGTCACTGTCAACGGAGGATAGACACATAAGGTTCCAAAACAAGTTTCTACTTACATAATGAATGAAATGACCTGTCCATGCAATCATGAGCAAATCATAGGCCCAATAATGTTTTTTCATAATCTTACCCAAGGCAAAATCAATGATAGTTTCAGCATTGTTCATGACTGCAGCGTTAGAAATTGGCACTAGTCCTGTAGTGCTTGCCAAACTGCCCAATAGTTAAGGTATCATAAGGACTAGTAGAAACTTGCCATTCATAAGGGTTTTGCTATATGTTATCATTATATAAGGACTAGTGGACTAAAAATGTTAGTTTCTACTGCTGTGACTGACTGACTGACTGATTTTGACACTTGCAGCTCAAATGTTTTTTTATCACATCTGGAAACAGCCATTGAGAAATCCATATTAAACATTAAAAAACGAAACAGATGTTTATTCGTATTTTGAGTTCAAGAAACATTGCAACTAACATCAACAAACCATCTCTGACAATTCATTTTTTAATAAAAATACAAAAGAGAACCATAGTACTTACTGACCCACACCTACTGGGTCTGTGTTGCCTGAAAGTACTCCCTTTTTCACAACAGGGCTCTTTCAATTGATGTGGAAACAAAGGGGAAGATATTCATGAAGAATGTGACTGTCCAAGTTGATGGTTTATTAAATTTAGTTTTAAGGGCATACTTTTCTCATGTTACTTGATTTGGAATTTTATCTACATTACCTGAATACCATATATATTTATAATGAAGACAAATAATCCTTCTTAATCTGTTAATAAATAAATATAGAAACATTGTACTGAAAGAATCATTCATACACCACGGTACACTATTCAATATATAGTATTCAGTATTCTCACAAATGATTCCATCTTCTATACAAATGAATTATAGAAAACTGCAAAGCAGATGTTGATACCTGGCCAACCATATAAAAATATCTCAAATTGTTTTGCAAGGTGAGTTGAAATCGGAATAGTTCACCATTGACACATTTCTGTGAGTCTCCAAAATTACTGACTACTGTTGAGAAGTCAGAGATTGATATGTAGTAGAGTGTCAATACTTAATAAACTTACTGTACTAGTGGAGATAATAAAATGTTGAGTCTCAGTTAGTTCACACAATGTGCTACTTCTCTAGTTTCTCCTATGATCTAGTGAAAGGGGAGGGATACGTCTATTATTATCACCTTGACTGATTAAAAAACACATGAAATAAAATGACTAAGTCAGGACTAAGCTCAGTGTCAAGATTTGTGCTAATTAACAATGTACCACAAGCTAAAACAGGCAGTTATTATTTCTCATCTTCAAGATCATATTCGTTTTCTGTTCCTGCTGCCTAGTGCCATTTCTGCCCGTAACAAACACCAGGCAAATAATCAATAACTGTTTCACAACATTCACGCTTCCCTCCTCCATGCTAGCCAGCCAGCTTCAGCACTGGTCAAGGAGTCCTCCGGCTGGGTCATATAACTTAACCTGATTTTACAGCTCACTGCCAGACAAACACATTCAAACAGAGCTTCGGAACACTATAGCAGATCTTTGAATCAATCAACAACCATTTGTTCCATGTGTACACGTTATCACATACAATATCGATAAGACTTGGCCATCATATAGCTGGAATATTGCCGAGTGCGGCGTTAAACAACAAGCAAACAATGATAACACTTGGTCAGGTAGCTTTCTGAAATATTTTTGAATTGTGTATGTGACCCTTCACTTGAGGAGTTGAGCTTTCACTTTGTCAGCAGTCTCACTTTAGCAATTAGTCCAAGGCCAAGGTATAGTAAATACTAGATAACAAAAGTCCATATATTATGATCAACATTTCCTTAAACTGATTTTAAGAGAGAAAAATGAGCTCAAATCTGACGAGTAGAACTATTCATACTTGAAGATATGTTTTGAACACAAACTGACTCACTCAGACTCACTTCTAGAAATGATTCCTTCTCATAAGGCATGCACTGGCCACTCGAACCAAATTACCTGTGAAGTGGTAAATATTTTTCAGGTGACAAACAGCAACTGCTCAGGACGTGCATGCTTTGTCATGTTCATGTCAGGAGGAGAAATAGCCCTGAAATACCTCAGTTACAGTACTCCCAAATCAGGGACTTACATGGGCTATCTACTGTCAAGGGAAAAGGGTCTTTCAGTATTAATTTGGAGTGAGTGAGTGAGTTGGGTTTAACAGTATTCCGGTTATATCGGGGCGTGTCAGCTTAATGTGGGAGGAAAGCCCGAAGTGGTGCAGGTCTCAGAAGTTTACCACTTCGGTGAAACCAACAAGCCCGGACATGGTGCTGACAAACCTAGAAACATACTTGGGGCGAACGTGGATTCGAACCCACAATCATAGGTTTCTCCACAGCGAATCACAGCGCCTTAGACGACTGGGCCACCAGTGCCCCTGTACTAATTTGGAAGGTACAAAACCCTGATCACTGGCAATAATTGGGATTACATTGGGGCACGATTCCATATTATCCCAATACATTCCCTAACCTTGCAGCTTTTACAACTAATGTGACAAAAATTCCATTACAACTTATTCTTTGCAAGCAACCACACAACATGTACAATCATGCAAATGCATAGGATACTTTAACTGACAATGGGTATATAAAATGCCATGTACATGTTGTATTCCATAAAAGACACTACTGATTTCATAAGTTTATCATGCATTATATTGTGAACTAACTACATTATAATAATGACATCCAAAAGAACTTCAGATGAAATGGCACCTTTTTATTTTAGTTTCTTATACTTCTGGCATGAGAAAGACTGAATGTAGTCTTTGTAGTCAGCAGTTCCCTTATGTTGAAAATATACATGATATGAATAGCCTAATTGAGCCCCTTGAACATGTACAGATTACAACAAATGAACCAGACAATGAGATAGCAGCATCACGTATCTAGTGAGAGAATATTATCGTTCAATTGC